TATAATATTTTTTAATTATTTCAAATATAATATAAAAAAGCGTAGATCATTGAGTATAAAATCCCTCCATTTTTTTTTACCGTTGCTGTTCTACCTCACCATTTCTCATTTTTTTATTTGTGACACAATTCATCAATGCGCCCGTTGTGAGCAATTTTGTCAGTTTCTACTTGAGGAACCGGTAAATTGATTGCGAACTATTGGCATTAAATGGTAATACGAGAGAAAACAAGAGAGAGAGAGAGAGAAAGAGGAATAATTATTCCTCCGAGCGATCAAACTGTGCATTAAATGGTCGATCGTCGATGCATTTAAATAGTCAGCGCAAACAAATCAGTGAATTGGTGCGCGATCGAACGCGCGCGAATAGCCGGCCGTTCACGATTGTTCGGGCAATTAGTTGAGCGAATAATGCTGGGCGCAAGAGTCCTGACGCGAAACTGAATTTATGTGACTTATAGGTCACGTACAACTTGCATGTTCGCCAAAGCAACAATAGAATTATTCGCGTCGTAGACACGTGTTCTGTGAGACAGCCACCTCTGTCTTCGTAAACTTTGGAATAGCGCGAGTCTGCTGTCGTGACTCGCCGAGATATCGGTCTATTGAAGGTACGAAAGCACGATGGATTTAAGAATCTGCGAACGATTGTCTTGACGATAATTTGCGAGCCGAAATTTTCAGTGTCCGAAAAGATGTAAATTGCTCGGAAAACATACCCTGAAGCGGTCGGGAAGAATTATTGTTCCGCCGAGTCGTCGATAACTATAGTTGTATCAAAGTACCATTCTTCCTCGACCTGGCAACATACGTACAAACGTCCTCATTTTTTGACGACATCCTATAATCACTGAGAACAGTATCACGACACGTCTGCATATAGGTGGGCATCAATAATAATTCTCAGCGTCTCCCTAGTCATTTCGCATTGTACTTCCGTGTCACTGCGTCCTGTAGTCATAATTCTTTCGAACATTCTGAAATTCTTCTCTATAATGTATACACATGGCAAAATCCTATCGCGATCAAATGTAGAATCTGAAAATGAACAAAATCACATATATATGTGTCCACCAAACTAAATTTTGCAAAGAATTTTTTAAAAGAATTATGTTTTTTTCTCTCTTTTTCCCCTTTTCTCTTTTGTATCTAAATTTTTTGAAATATTCACAAAAAGCAAACATCCGGAATTCAAAACGGAAATTTACAAGTTGTATCTATATATCCATTTGAACATAACATCAAAGTAATCACAATCGCATGCAATCTTTTTATATTATTTCTATAGTTTTTTTTAAAACATATTTTAAAATTAATTTAATCTTAAATTTAATCTATAACATTATTAAATATCTGTATGTCATAATTATAAAAATTTGATAGTAATTTTTTAAAAAACGTTTTTGAAACAACTTGTTTCACGCACACAAAATGCATGATAAATGACTCTTTTATAATATAAATAATATAATAATAATCGTTGTAATAAATAAAAATATTTGGCTAGAATTTATCTAATCGATAATTTAATTGAGAGATAGAGTTATGGCATTTCCATAACAAGATTGACACGAAACAAAGCTTTCTTTTACACGTGTGTAATCTACAAAAATTATTCGGAACCGACGCCTTCAGAAACGACTCTAAAAGCATGCGTGTAGCTGGCGATATGTGCTTTCTCTCTTTTTCTCCCTCTCTCTTTTTCTCTCCCTCTCTAATTTCACTAAAGATAATCGCAATCAGAGAGCAGACTGCTCAGTGCAGGCGCAACATCAAGTAATGACAATAATAATAGTAATAACAATAATAATAATAAGTAGAAATAGGGATAATAATCGCTTTTATGTCGCCTTTCAACGTCTGATTGGCGCCTTGGCGTTCGTCGAGGATCGTCGTCGACGCGGCGCGTGCAGTTGCACCTGTCAGGCACGAGATGCGCAGGCGCTCAGGTGCTACGAACCGCCGTACGGAGGTAAAACGTCGCGCGGTCGAGCTTTCGTAGTCGGCATCGGCCATCCGCGACGCGAACTTTCACCCGGACGACGGTCCCGCGCATGCCGCGGCGCCACTTACGAAGTTGTCGCGCGTGTAAGTGAATTAGAGGAGAGGAGAACATTCTCTCTCTTCCTTCTCTTCGCGAATATTGTGCGGAAGAATATACGACGCAAGTCGCGACGTCGACGCGGCTGAAAAGTGTGCGATTGACTCTGAAACTCGGGACATTAATCCTTTGGGATTTTGGTCTCGGCGGCGAGACACGGGAGATGGTCAGTGCAGTTAGCGAGGAAACAGAAATTAATTCCAACTGGAATTTACACGTTTCTTCGGATTAATTGTTGCGCGCGCGCGCAACAACGATGCCTCTTCCTCGTGGACGGTGGCGTACGGATGAATCAAAATTGCATCGCGTCGAATGCCGGCGTTGATTTTATCTATCCCAATCGCACGCCTACGGGCGAACGCGTGCACGCGAATGGAAAAACTGTTTGGAAAAACACAAGCTGTAGGCGACAACGAGCGGCGCTATCTCTAATTTTAATTTCACCGGCCGCCGCCGACGCCAGGATACGGCCGGTATATAAACCGCATTTGCGTTTTCGGTCGCTCGATCGCGCGATGAAACCAGCCGGCCGGAAGAGTTTCGATGCTGTCCCCGGAATTGCGGCGAGCCGCTCTTAACCCGGATCGGGTCGCGAAGGTAGGCTGAAAACCGCGGCAGCGCACCCGACGCAGCCTCAAATCGCCCAGCAAGGCGAATTAATGTACCCGCGCGGTTCAAAATAAATGCGGTCACGCAAAATTTCAATACCGATCGGAGGCACGATTGCAAATTGCACGAGTCTATAATAGATCTATTATGCCGATGCATAATACACGCAACCGGAATATCTCTTTATATTACGTCAAATGATGAGAATCGCAATCGGGGACTTTCGAATCGGTTAGCAATGGAAATTAATAGATGCTAAATAAACGCAATTTCGCAAAATTTCAATCAAGTTAATGTATGTGTTTTATTGATATATAAGACACATACATACAAAATTATGCTAATCATACATAACGCATTCACGTGTAGATTCACAATACATTTAAATTAACCAACCATATATAGTATTACATGCGATCCGAAAGAAACACGAATATCACAAATTTGCAATTGATTGGAAACTTGAACTAACCTGTCTATCATATTATACATGCATCGCGAAATCTCCTTTATCTAGAAAATTATGCAAATCAGGAGTAATTGATCCGTGCAGCTTGCTTAAGTTGGTTGATATAAAGCTCATCGTTTATTCTCCGCAGATTTAATTGGTATAGTTTGAATGGTTATTAATGTAACAAGGATCTGTCGCTTTTAAGATTTATATTTTTGACAGTGAGGGAAACATACTTAATACAATAAGAAAATATTATTCTGTCCATTTTTTTTCTGTGAGTATTAAATTCTTACATGTCGAGTAATCCTCAAAGAGATAAAATTAATGAAACATTGAACCGATATATCACGTAAAACGACGTTTTCATAAAATCTGAACGCCGGGACTGTTCACTCGCGCGAAAGCCAATTGAAATTTATTACATCGTAAGAATACAAACGATGGAATATCCATTCGATGAATGCGGATGCTGTTCAGAATTGAGACATGATTATCGAGACGGAAATTCGTTTCTCATATTTCCGGCAGAATTGAGGAAAGTCGTTCTTAACTGTGATCAAGGAATAAAGGCAGTACGAGGGATACACGGAGCCGAGTCGTCTCCTAAAATCGAGCAAAACGATAGGACAATAAAGAGCGTCATCCGTTATCGGTATCGGTAAAATGGACGATCGGCTAATTATGACAAGAAGAATAAAATCGGAAATAGAAAGCGCGCGATGCATCGACTTCGATTTTATATGAGCGATCAAGCGATTTCATCGAGCGTATGCCGATGCATATCGATGGAACGCGAACGACAGAGAGCGAAAGCTCCAGGGAAAAAGGAGTAATAAAAAAGTAACGCATGGCGGGACTCAAATTTCGCATTCGAGAACGAGAACGATGTCGCGCAGATGGTAGTTATGGAGAGTGGCGAGATCGAAGCGACGCGACAATTGAATCGACGACGGTGATACCGACAAATATTTCCATATCGCGACTACCGTGAAAATCACAGGCGAGTGAAATTAACAATTGGCAGGATTAGATTTGTGAAAGACGTTGGGTTTCAAATAATTCTCGAATATATTACATTGTTAAAATAAAGTCTTAATATAGCAAAATTATTAAGGGATTCACAGACTTTTAACATAAAATGTCACGTTATATATTTTCGCGTTCTTCCGCTAAAAATTTGCTATTTAAATAGAAAATTGTTTTAGTGCAAGTAAACGAATCGGTGCCCCGATAAGCAAAAGTTAAATGATGAATTTGTTAAAGATTAAGAAAGAAATTAGTAAGGAATAACTAATCTTACCGTAAAAATTGTTTATATTGTCAAAAAAAATTTTTTTTTTTGCGACTAGATCCGTGTGTAAGTTTTATCACACGATTGCAAAAGGAACAGTCTTGAACGATACAATCGTTTATTCATATTCCGCCGCTGGAGAAACTTTCTTCAGGAATAGCACGAAGAAGGGAAGGCAAAGTCGATATATAGATACAATAAAAGTATCGCGGTGTGAATAAGTCAAGAATGAACGAGCAGACACACCGCCCTTTATTCGGATATATCTGAAGGGGAATAACCGCTGACAAATCGATTCTCGTAGTCGATGCCGTACACGATCGGGACGAGCGTTGCGTGTAAGGTGTTTTCGCGCGGCCGCCCGCGCACGTGGACACGAGGGAAAAAGGAAGCTAGGCGAGGAACGAGAATAGCCTTGCCGCGAATAAATAAACCATGCAGCGCTACAATTCGTGCGAGTTTTGGCCGACCCTTCGAACTCTCAAACTCGGAATCATTTACGAACGTAGTGGAGGTGAGACTATTGTGGCTTCGAGAAAAATTGTGTGTATTCTACGACGCAAACCATGAGAAGAAACAATATTTTTTCGCTTTACTTTGCTCGCAACTTTCCATCGATATTGTATCTCGCGTAAACTTTATAATCACATTTAGGTCTGTCAAATTTTTCTCTTTAACTTTTTTTTTTTTTTTTTTTTAATCTTGATGCCTCTGATCTGCGATAGATTGTAAAGAGAAATGGATGTATCGCACATTTTCTCTTTTGTTTTAATCTACAAATTTGGAAACGATATTTTAACAGCCCAAATTTGATCCAATTTTGCGGTTTCTACAATTGAATATAAAACATATGAGGCACAGAAATTGTATTTCTGTTTTAACTTCTGACTGCTCTATGATCTTAAATCGTAAGATCAAATATGTAATACTATTCCAGTGAGGATTAGTTCGATATTGAATATTCGAATGCAATAGTGAGGTACATAAGAAAAGCGTCTGGTTTCCGATACATCTTGCACATTCGGATAAACGGGCGATATCACTGGTAAACAGAATCTCCGCAAGATACATCCCAATTATAAACACAAATCACTATTCCAAAGTTAGGCATCAGGTCAGCCGCGCTAGACAAACAGACAACATCCTGTTCGATCTCTACGCTCATTAGCAGCACCGTGCATCGGTAAACCGGAACCTCTGCGTTATCCCTCTATCTATCTGCCTATCTATCTCCCTCTGTATACATCTCTTTACGACGATCGATTGGCGAAACATGCGTACCATTGTGCCGCAACTTCCTCTTAAGAGCGTGTTCTGTCGGCCAGCGTCTCGACGCCGGACGACGCTTGGGACTTGCAGCGCAAACTCGGCAACAAGTTGCATTTAAAATCCACATCCGGCGTTTGTAGAAGTAGTTGTACGGCAGTTTCGTCTCTTTTCTTTCCCTCCCATTCTCCTCTTCTCGCCCACCGCTGCTACCGGAAACCCCGTCAAATCGCCGAGTATTCTCGACTGATTCGGGCTATTCAGACAAGAGCTCGCCCGAGATTTCTCTCGTCCGCTCGGCCCCGGGATTATTCCTGAAATTCGTTATAAATTCATTCGGGGGTACTATGCGGGTCGTATTGCATTCGAGACTGCCTTGACAGCCTTCTCACTCTCTTGACAGCTAGTAATTATGGGGCGCAGGAAAAAGGAGGAAGAAGGAACGCGAGATTAGTTATTCGTCTCTATTTTTGGAGATCGCGACGCTGTCTGCTTTTATTCATACGCTTAATAATTTTTATTCGCGCGCTCATTAATTTGGTTTTACCTTTATGGTGAGCCGACTGTTTAGAAGCACACCATTCTCCTCGCAAGCGCGAATTAAAAGCGTTGCACTTTGACTTACGACTTCTTGCGACGAGAAAATCCAATTAAGGAGCGGGCCACATGGAATTACCGGAATTTCTTAACCGAAAGCTTCGAAGATGAAGAGCACTCGACTCGCTACTAAGCGAGTGCTTTTAGCACCTTATGGGTAAAGTAAAGAGAGAGGATAGAATGGGAACCTTCAATTGCCAAAAATTTAACTGACGTTGCAAAATGGAAAACGTCGCGCGGGGTCAGTTTCGACAAAAATACGCTCGAACGGCGGAAAAAGTGTTGATAATGTCGATCTGATACTAGATTTGATTCCCTCGGGTGTTTCGTTTTCGACCGATCGGAATATTTTCATGATAAAAAGAAAGGGAACACGCCCCTCGATGCGTGAGCAAAGTCGTAAGTAAACGTACGCGGAATAAGGTCGCCGTTAACTGCGTATACGGTTCTTCCACGGGCGGGACGCACAATGAAAACACAATAACCCGCGGCAATCATTAAATTTAATTGACAGTGGAATAACGAAGAACCTCGTCGGTAATTAAGACTAGTGCGATGGGCATTCTCGCGCGTGCCTGACGAGCACGCCTCTTTTTCCTCTCTTTTCCCTTTCCCTTTCGCTATCAGTTTTGCGATTGTCTCTATGGTGGATGTTTGTTCGTGACTCTTTCTCGCTTGAACAAATTGTGCCGCGAACGCGCCTCCGAAATAACGCATTGAAACGATAAATTCTGGTAGAGTGGTTGGAAGTTTTGTTGTAAATGGGAAAATGTGTGCAATGATTATAATAAGAGAGATTAACTATTTGTAAAGAAAATAAAGAAAAATTATTAATTATTATAAAATTATTATAAAATTAAAAACAGGAATATACGAGTATATGTATATATATATATCCCTATTTTTTAAATTTTATTATATATATACATATAAAATTAATAATCAAAATCTTTTATTAAGAGAATAAGAATTATTGCTTTATTTAGTAATTATTAAGAATTTTGGCCGAATGGGCAGGTTTTAAATAATTACATAAGTGAGATCGATAAATCGAAATTACAAGAGAGGGAGAGAAAGAGATAGTTAATCTTTCAATAATTGATGTAACCTGGTGGGAAGCGTTCAAGGAACGCTACCCGCCGTGTCTATACTGTGCGAACATTTTCGTTCTTCCCGTTCTTATTATCACGCGACGTCTCTCTTTGACGCCAGGAAGAAGAGAATTGTCGGCAAGATCACCGTCGATCGCCGAAGAAGCTGGGTGATAATTACGAGTCGAATCCATGGACCAGAAAGTGCGCGAACGCCGTCGAGCGATGGATTTTGTGTTGTTGCTGCTCGTGATGCTGCTGAGGCAAGAAGGTGAGTACTTTCACTTATGACGAGCGCACGGATGCATTCTGTTCTGAATCCTTTGCTACATTCACTTTAAAGGATACAAAGGATAGCACTTCCTTCTTCCTTTCTCTGCGATTTCCTTTTTTATTCGCCGGTAAGGATGCTAACTATTGCGTTGTATTTTAAGCACGCGCTTCGAAAGAGCCACAAAGACTGCTCATCAAAATCGATCTTGCTCGTAAAAATTTTTTAAGTGCTGGAACAGTGATAAAAATTCCGATTGCGCGCATTGTATGTTATATACATTTTAAGTTATCCTCTAGGAAGCTTGATTTTAGCAGAAATTTAGAGTTACCGTTGTCTTTCAACTTGTTATAAATTACTGCGCTATTTGTTTGTAGAGATCAAACTGATTCTACGATACTTATCGTATTATCTAATTATGCCATGAAAATTTAATCTTGATATCAAGAATTAGTATAGGATAATTTCTGAAGCACATTTGTATAGGTATATGCGTACACACTGACACAAATATTATATATATATATATATATACCGTGAAATAAAAGCTATACTTTTCGCCAAGTTGCAACCGTGTCGTGAATATGAAATCTGCCGCAGTCAATCTATGCAACCGGAAGCGCATTCAAAGATACAAAACACAGTTGCTGATAAACGCATTTTCCATCACCGTCGAAATCGGGATATTGTATTTGACAAGCGTTGCTTTCACAAATGTGGCCAATCTCCACCATGTTTCCCGCGGTTTATATATATATATATATATATATATATATGTATTGATGAGCAAATTATATTATATTAAGTAATTATTCTTTATTTATATATTACGTTGTTATGATATAAATTTTTACATTTTATATTGTGAAAATTATTATCTTAATTAATTGAATAAATCGTTTGCCACGTTTTCTTGACAAAAAAAGAAAATGGAATAATAATAATTTTTACATAATTATTAGAAACTATTAAAATTCTCATCGATGCAGAGCGAGAGATGATTAAATGGACGTGAGTAAACAGAGCATGAAATACAGTTACGTACCGCAATAATTCGTAATTACGTGAAATAATCCGGTGCGGATAGAATTGCAATCGGAAGGGTTAGTTTTCATCGAGTTGCGTGGCTATCGCATCGCAAACGAAATATTGCTGTTAAAATAATTATTATTTGTAACAGCCTATTTAACGCTACTCGATTTTCCTGTGAATTATGCAAATAAACTGCTGGAACTGATAAAACACCAATATTTTAACGCGCATGTCAAAAGTGACGTTTGTTAAATCTGATATCGTAACATTAACGATCACGTAACTCTACAAATTATAAACCCAGACTTGATACAGAACGCCAATCAGGATGGTAGACGGTAGTTTTGCTTTCCTCGCGAGCCGTCTTTAACAGCCGGGGGTTCGAGAGTTGATTGTCGTCGTTACCCCTCCGGCTAAGGTATATATAGTTCAATGGGTCTATCATGAAGACCATAACAGCCAAAGATGCGTACGGCGCAGACGGTGTATAACTCGTAGGGGTTCTCAAACTTTAATATCTCGACCTCGCCGTACCACAAGAAGCATAAATTTATTTAAAGCTTTCTGCATTCTCACGGCGTCGCATAATTCGGTGCGCGATAAAGTGCAAGTTTTATGACACATTGCGGGATAAAAACGACCAGTGCGATAATAAGAAAACGCGTAACTTGCATAATTCACAGTAGAAATAGCATTTGGAAAACGCTGGCATTTTCTAACGAATCTAGACGGGCGATGTGTGTTTTTTTCTTATTTAGACACACACATAGACGCGCGCACAACACATAATACACACACACACACACACACATATATACACATACATGTGTATATATATAACGTATTCCTCTAATGCCAAAAAATAATATTCAATTTAAAAAAAAGTCTTTTGTGTCTTGAAGTCTTTTTTGTTGACGAAGATTAACTAGAAAATTAAAATCACTATTAGAATGCAAAGAGCACATTGAGAAACACTGATGTATATTATAGTGTACATAGTCGGCTACAAGCTCGCCTGTACGCCAAAGTTTCCTCTGTCGTTCTATACCGAAGTATCTGATAGCTCTTGCAATTTCCAAATGGCCGTTTCCCATCTCACTCACGCCATTTTTTCGATGATCTCGTCTCTTTTTTTCCTATTCTCGGTTTGGTCCTCAATCTGAATGCATACTCTGACGAGGGTGAAAAGCTAAGAACGGTTATCCGCGCTCGTTTTTTAAGGAAGAGGAACGAAAGGAACGATTTAAAAATGGCGCTCTTTCTAATTACGTTTCGTCGTTCCTTCTCAGTTATCGCGGCAAAGGTGTATGCGGTGTAAAAGAGATAGAAGTTACACGAAGGTAGATAAGGAGCTTTAAGAGAAAGAGATAGATAGATAGATAGATAGATAGAGAGAAGAGAGAGAGAGAGAGAGAGAGAGAGAGAGAGAGAGAGAGAGAGACGAGGGTTGCGCGCTGAGTAAGAGAGCAGAGTGCGGGATAGTTGGGATTTATTACGTTCCGGTAGGTGGGTGAGGGAGAGAGGTGACGAGGAAGCGAGCGTTACGCCCGTGGCAGAATAAAAATCTCGCGTTAAGGCAAGGCAAATGGTGTAAAAGTCAAAATTAAATGGGCGGAGACGAAACGAGCGCGGGAGTAGTTAAAAGGTTACGATCGGCAAGAGATTAAGTAACCGCGAATACGAAGATGCGTTCACGTTATATATCAACTGGCGGTGAATATCTATAAGGATCACTTTCCCGGATTTTACTTCCATCACGTCAGCTCGTGAAATAACGGTTATGAAAGCTCACGACAGTAAAGTTTGACGTATACATCAGCGAGCAAAGAAAATCAAATAGAATTCAAACGTCAGAAGAGAGAATAATAGAAATTGTATAGTAGAATAAAAACGTTTATTATGTATATCAATGTGAATTTTTATTTATTGGAATTATAATATTTTATATATAAAATTAAAAGAAATTAACTAATAATGAAAAAATGAGAAAGACGGGCATTTGACAATTAAGCCGTCAAGTAAAAATAATTTAGTTAAGTATTCTATATTCATTTTGTTCTTTATTAACAATTTCCATGATTGACAGTAAAAGCTATATCAAGACAAAGTTAAAAATATATCGGCGATATGGAAAAACACGATATGAGAAATTGATGAGAAGTCGATGAAATAAAGAAGCTGCTATATCCTTTTTTTGAGAAATATTTCTAACAAAGAAGGTAAAATGCATTGCCCTAAATACATATCAATACGGAGACTGCGTGCATCACCATGTACATGATATGAAATTTTAAAACCATGAACTTGAATATCATATATACAATACCTAAATACACACATGCATGCAAAATAGATGTCTGCGGTAAGTTGGTTAACATGAATAAATAAAAGATGCTCGAACATATCGGTGTCGAAAACTTCTTTCTCTCGAATGAGTTGTCCGCAAAGATTGCAAGTCAGTTGTTTAATTAGACTAAAAAAAAAAAGAATACGAATCGCGAGGCATGATCGTTTTAGCTAATAAATTTCAATTATTTAGAAGCATATATTTTATATGCATTATATGTTTATACAGGGTGAGACTTTAGCCTAATGTTCATAGGAACATTTGTTAATACTTTTTATCCAGAAACATGTTCACGCAGTTTTAAAACATATTTATAACTCACTCTCTATATATATAATCTACAAAAATTGTAATATCTATCAGATACATAATTAGTCGCAATGTTGCAAGGAATGATACTTTTTTATTTGCGAAGAGAAATGTGTGTAAACTTTGTTTAGAACAGATTTTTATCTCTAAAATATTAAATCTTATTTTTTAAATATTTTATAT